ATATTTGTTGGCAGGAGTAGATCTGCGGATGTACTATGTAACATGAACTGACGAATCATTTTTCCTTTGTTGCTTTATATGTCAATTGGGACTGAAATTACTTATGGAAGGATATTCTAACTAGGAAAACCTTGGATGTCCTCAAATAATAATTCTGTCTATTCTACTTGCACTAACGCGTTTTGAGTGCTGCATTGGAGCTCATGATGCAGAGTTTGGTTAAAAACTAACAAGAGAATTTGCATAAGTGAGGGCTTAAGTTAACCATTGCAACTCATTGTAAATATGAATTCATTTTAGAGTAAGCATGCCTTGCTAAGGAAGCCATGTTTGGCCTGAGTTTTGAAAAACAAATCTTGAATTGCTGTACAAGCTTGTTGTTTTGATATTGTGGCAACTACCTGTTATTTTCTGCAGTGCTAATATTTTGCTGGCTATTTTACTCTTTATGGTATAGGTGCAAGCCACTGTTCAGAAAATCCAGGGTATCTTTGAGCAATGCTTAGCAGTTCATGATAAACTGGAGGCCTCGTTGCGTGATTTGTCTAGGACAGGAGACATTCAGTCTTGCAAGGCAGCTCGTAAAGCTGCTGACGCACAGTTTAAGGAGCTATCGAAAGATCTGAAGCCGCTGTTGACGACTCTACATTCATCTCCCCAGTCTTATCAGATATGGCCAAAGGTTAGTTATTGTTATTATCCAAACACTATCTCATGCCAGGCATACGAAGCAAGCAAGTTGAGAAACTCGTTCTGGACTTCTTTTCTTCATTCACATTAATTACTAATTTTCCAATTTGGTTACTGTGCTTTGGGGTGATGCAGGTAGAGGACTTGATCGCAAAGGAGCGAGAGATGCAGGAGAAGCTCATGACAAGGCATTCCACCGTTGTCGACAGCTTTGAGAAGAAGCTGCGTGGGCAAGATGTAGAGAACAGGATTGCTTTGCAGCAGCAGAAAATTGCTGCTCTGAGGCAGGAGGTTGAATCTCTTTTAGAGTACATTAGTGAGATTTGAACAAATGAGTGCTGCTGTGGCGTGATACATCTTTATCGATTAGACTGTCTTTGCTGGGTTTATGGTTTACCCCAATATTGAAATCTACTACACAGAGATTGTGTCGGTAACCATCTAGTTTCCCAGTTGAGGACTGGAAGTTGCAATGACCATGTAAAATGATAATCACTGTAACCCTTCTGAGCTGACTAAATTTTGCATTTGATAACAGTATCACAGGAAACCTTCATCTTTTGGATTGAATGTGTGAATCCATTGTTGGAAAAGTTTTAGTTGGGAATTGCTTTCGATACCCTGTTTAGTGGTGCATTTGCACATATAACTATCGCTAAGATAATGAGTAATACTTGTCTGTGAAGCCCAGCAAGGTTTGATGCTAAAGGCATGCTTGCTTCACATGACTGGACAGGGTTGGCCTTTCGGCAGGATCAAACTGCTTGCACTCACGAATATTTGGGACCACATCTAAAGAGCAACGATAAGCGGTTTGTTGGTTCTCTTTTCGTGACCTACAACGAAACCCTGTGATGTGGGATCTTGATTTGGTGAAGAGAACAATATTTGCTTTCCTTCACTTTTTTGGAGACCTACCCTTTGCTTTACCAAGTGCATGGTACTAGGTTTTAATTTTAACCCTCCACTCAGATTTAGGAAAAAAACAAAGGAAAAATGTACGAGTCACAATTCTATTATTGAGTTACTGTAGTGCCTTTCGGTTTATGTAGGAATCGTGGCGTCCTTTGTATCTTTGGTTCACAGGAATCACTTGCAGGGGAAAAAATAGAAAACTTCTCTTGGGTTTGATTTCATACATTCCAACCTCATTTTTTCTGCCTCTTTGTGTTTTTGCTACGGTTCATACAAACGCATATTCCTACAAAATTCATATGTTTTTTTATTTCTCTGATTTGCATATGCGTTCATGTCCAATTCATGCGTTTTTTTGAATCCTATCCCCCATGGGACATGAATACATGATCCTACGCATTTACTGCTGCACCAGCATCTGTACCTTGCGTAGCATAATCATTCGTCCCATGAAAAGCTTTCAGGAAAGTTCGCAAAGGATTAGCCAAGTAGTGCCTGTCCATCAGTGATCAAGTCGTGACGACGATCACTGTTAGCCGAGAAAAAAGCAGTGCAGGTTACGGGATGCTCCGAACTTCTTTACGTACGCCCACGGCCCACATGATTATAGGACAATGCTAGCCGCCTAACCCTGATGAAGACCCCCCTCCCTATCGACTTGGCTCCTCTCTGGTGCTCTCAGCCTCTCACTCCCTCAGTCGGAAAAAAAAACAGCTCCATCCGTGGAAGTGACGTTCCCGCCAACGAGCAACGACCGCCTTTGCTTCTCCTCAAAACGTTTCTCCTCTGCCTCGGATCCAAACCCAACAGTGTTTCCGAGGCCATTTCTTCCCCTTCCGGTCTTCCTCCCAATGCAACGAGTTTACATGCTTCCTGCCACGCCAGGTACGAGACCTACGGACCGAGCAGACGCCGCACGCGAGGCGAACGAACGAACGAACGCGTCATGATTGCAAACCCCCGGTCCGTGTATCCATCGAGCCATTAGGCCACCACCTCCTCGTCGAGCGTCAAGTGGAAAAAAGTCAGGAAGGACGTTTTTTTATAAAGCAATCATGGTTATTTCATCGTGGATTCAAGATACTCTCTCCGTCTCCATAACGAGTACACTTTTAGAGTTCAAAATTTATTCTAAAATAAGTACACCTTTAGATATAAGACAAACCAATTTCACTTGTCTTTTTTCAAGGTGCAATGATCACATCTTTATAGAGGCATATATATAATTTCTCACTAACCTGTACAATTATTTTAGGACGGATGGAGTACGTGTTTGCATGTACGAGAGAGTTATAGTTTTCTTTTAAGTTATTTCTTCTAAATTTAAGCAATAATTACATGATTAAATACATATGCATAGATACACATAGCGAATCCAAAGTGGATGCCCATAGTTGCTCTTGCTCCTTTAAGGACCATCCCCGATAAATCTTTTCCAGCCCTAACGACCTAGTAACATTTACTAGATTGAGGAAAGAAATCATTTTTATCCATAGACTGTGGTACACGGGAATAAGTGAAAAAAACTCTAATAATTTCTCTTTCCCATCCACTTACTATTTTTTCCCAACCATCTAATTCCTTCCCTATGGTAGTTTTTCTCCCTGCCGTCGATCACTACACGTGGGGTGGAGGAGCGCTGCCGTCGAGAACCGAACCGAAGGGAGATTTGGCCACCAAGAAAGAGAGGAGAAAGAGACTAGGATGAAAGACTTTGCAAGGTCTTGAGAGGGAGGAAGACTAGTTGAAATGAAATGAAGGAAACAATTGATCCACTGATACGTGGGTCTGACATATCAAAGGAAAAGACGATGCATGTTTTTTTTTTTCCAATCTGTTAGAGCAACCATCTCCTAAATCATAGATTATGTTGTTTTCAACTCGTAAATTTGAAAGGCAATGGGATGTACGTTGCACCGTAGACTCCCCTCACGTGACTTTATCCATGCGCACCGTGGACCTCCCGACACCCCTTCCATAAGAAGTAAACAGCGTGTTTAGTTCCACCCCAATTTTCAAAAAGTTCCGGCGGCGACATGGCTGCCGGTTCCTGACCGTTCTGACGAGTGCCACCGCCACGCTCGATCTCATCTCATCAGACACCGCCGCCGGTTTCTGATGCGCCATCTTAGCTCCGCTCGAATGTCTCCTGTCAGGCGCCACCCGTGTCTGAGCATTACATGTAATCTAAATTAAAAGATAAACTAATGTACATATTCAGAATCAGATTTGGTGAGAAATTACGAACACTCGTTTTGAGCCTAAATTAGTCCATGTTTTCAGAACACTATTTGCCAAAATAAAACGAATGTGACTTCTTTATTTGAAGATATGGGTAATTGACTTCAAAATCTAAATTCCTACAACTAAACAAGGGGTAGGAACCATTCCTACTGAGGTCCTCTTGGAATCGAGAAAAATAATACATCGTTCGGTTTTTCAGGAACCATGCCCTGAAACAATTCCTATCATAAATGCTTGACTAATTTATATAATCTTTGATGGGCTAGAATAATTCCTGGGTAAATTCCTAGCTAACCAAACAAGCTCTAAAGGAAGTTTGGAAGTTAAGAACCATTCCACCTTCTTTGGAATGGAGAAAAAAAATGAACAAATATTTTAGGAGATTGAATTTCTATAACAACTTTTTCTATAAGAGTCTTTAGAACAAAGGATTGAATTTTACAAATTTCTTTGAAATTTCTATGAAATGAGTTGTCCTATACAAATTTTGTAGGAAAACAAGCATGAGGTCTGACCACATGTTTTGTTTTGCTTTGTATCTTAGGATATAAACTTTCGTATAGAATCCAAATTGTATGGGCATTTTATAATCTTGTGTTTTCCTATTTCTATATTTTGAGAATCGTACGTTTCAAAGAGAGCGTGATTTTTTCCCCCGGCGCACCGGCACGCGGCAGCTGGAGGCAAATCCCACACGAGCGACACGGCGGACTCCCCGATGCGCGCGCTCGCTAGTCGCTGCTGGCTGCTGCCGCCTGCCGCACGGGGTCCCCCAGCCGCCAGGCGTTGCGTGGCGTCGCGTGGGCGCGGTCATGGGCCACGGCCTTGGCCGCCGTAGCCGTGGCGGGGCAAGGGCAGGTTGCGCGGTGGGGGCGCGTGACGCCTGCCTGCTTTGCCTTGGCGCCATGTCACGAGGACACCAGCACTCGAGCACCAGGTCCCAAGTCCCGACTGCCAACGGCCCATCTCCGAGCCAAGAACTCCCGTCCACTTCTCTCCTTCCACTCAAAAAAAAAAAAAAAGGCTTCTCTCCTCTCCCATTTAACCACCACCACCACTGCCACTGCGCGCAAGGCACGACAAAACTCCAGTCTGCCCCCGTCCGTCCCCCGACCCCATCCACCGTCCGCACGTCTGCCTTGATCCGGCCAATGGCGTCGCCGGCGCGGCGCCTCCTGCAGACCAACTCCGCCGAGTACCCGACGCTCCCCGCGGCCGAGCCGCCGAGCCCGCTGGCCGTGGACTCCGACGTGGTCGTCATCCTCGCGGCGCTCCTCTGCGCGCTCATCTGCGTCGTGGGGCTGGCCTCCGCCGTCGCGCGGTGCGCGCGCTCCCGCGCCGCCGCGCCGTCCGCCGCCCAGGCCGCCGCCAGGAGGGGCCTCAAGAAGAAGGCGCTCAGGGCGCTGCCGAGCCTCGCCTACGAGGACGCCGTGGCGGCCGCCGCGGCCGGGGCCGGGGAGGCGAAGGTCCTGGCGGAGTGCGCCATCTGCCTGTCGGAGTTCGCGCCCAGGGAGGAGGTGCGCGTGCTGCCGCAGTGCGGCCACGCCTTCCACGTCGCGTGCATCGACACCTGGCTCGCCGCCCACTCCTCCTGCCCCTCGTGCCGACGAGTCCTCGTCGTCGCCGACGCTGCCAATAAGCGGCCGCCCCAGCCCAAGGGCTGCCGCAAGTGCGACGCGGCCATGGACGAGGAGGCCTCCTCGTCGTCCGGTTCCGGCGGCGACATGGCTGCCGGTTCCTGACCGTTCTGACGAGTGCCACCGCCACGCCGTCGTGGAGGAGACCTCTCATCCTCATCAGACACCGCCGCCGGTTTCTGGCAACTGCGCCGGCAATCTTAGCTCCGCTCGAACTCTCTCCTCGTCAGGCGCCACCCGTGTCTAGCTGGTTAGCAATCTTTAGCTCCACTCGAATTCAATCTAAGGATTCGAGCGTTGATGTTGTAAAATGTAGGTTGGTCGATTATGTACATATTCTTTTCAGAATCAGAAACATGTTAAGATATCGTGTGAATGAGAAACTCAGAAAGAACACTCCACGAGGAATTTTTCTATGCAACGCAGTTTCCTTCTTATAATCTTGCCGGCATTTTTTTTTGTGTGTGTCTGTATTCTTAATATAGTGCACTTGCAAATCACTATTGACTATTCAGATATGAAAGGGCCTGTTTAATTAGTGGGGACCCAATTTCTAAAAAAAAAATCACTCCGTCCAAACTCATCATTCTACTGTATAAAGTTTCAGATAAATTATTTATGAACCCAAATGACCATGGTACCTACATTTATTTGACATCTCGTTGTTATATGGGTAATTGACTCAGTTAACCTACGCATACAACTAGTATAATTAAGGAGCATGCAGCCATGTGGGTTGGGATTAGGCAAATACAGGGAATGCGTGCTTGAGTTGATATATATGGATTTCATTGCCTTTTCCAAGGACTCCAATGACAATAATAAATTTTCAGTTCTAGAACAAGAAGTCTTTTGGGACGGAGTAAGTAGTGTTCCATTGGTTTCTCCTAAGAAAGTAGGGGTTTTGTTTCTTTTATTTAAAATCTTTTTGGCTAGCTGGTTGTAATCAAGTTGCATTGTAGCCTATTTCAGCTTGTTTCTACGGAGTATTTCAAAAAAACGTGGGTACGGATCCTATGCCAAGTTCTCTAGTTTCCGCCAAGAATCTGAAACTAGACACCATGCCAAATGCCGACTCCTCCTTTTTCAGTTTTCATTTCCTTTTCCTACTGTGTTCAAGTTCCCATTGGATGGGTGAAACCTTTCTTCTGGGTGTAATAATCACTTAAATCTCTACTAAATGATTTAAAAACAAAAATGTTTCACCCTAAATCACCTTGAAACGTTTCTCATTTTAACACTAGGAGGGACAATCATCCAAAAAGATATTTCGTATCGAGTTTAGGTCATTTTAGAGAGAATTTGAATTGCTGGCCAAATAAATTCAACAAGTGATTCTGTTTAACAGAGAATCGTTTCTAGGTAGAATTTTGAATATAGGTTGTTCGTCCGGACGGACAGACCCCGTATAAGTCGTCCGCTCGCTTTGCGCCTCGCCCGCGCTGTCTGCTCGCTCATCGTGTTTGTAACACCCACGGTGTTACACCGTAAATCACTTGCTAAAACATGTCATGAGCATCATGTTTATGTGTTAATGCATGTAATAATGTGTGTAGCTCAATTTCTGTAACTCGAAACGAATAACTAAAATGCGAAACGAAAGTTGATTCGATAGTCATGTTATATCACTTAGAGTTTAAAACTAATTTTTATTAAGCAAAAATGCTATAGAATATATATGTGTCACCTTAATAAAGTTGGAAGTACAAACTTTATAGATGACAGTGAAATACTTATGGTCGGAAAATGATATTAGTAGCTAATATTTCCACTAGCTTAGAAATCACAAATGTAAATCAAATTCAGCTCAAAAACTTAGGAATTTTCAAGTCTGTCAACAGTTAGACACTGCTATGTTTAGCAATTTATTGTGAGAGATTGGGTTAAGGAGTGGTGTAGTGTTATAGCTCGATTTGGTAGTCTCATGTGCCATCTTGAGCATGGAGAAGACGGTTTAGGTTTAGGAGCAACCGTTTGGTCGTGTTGAGCACTTTAAAATCCGTGCACATTACCGGTTTCGGGCTGGTTGATCGCGTGGCCGCGATCACCAAGTTGGTGCGCGCCTTCGGGCGCGCTTGCGTTGCTGCTGCGTTGATGCGGCTTGGCGCGGCCGGCCGTGGCTTCTCGCTTGGCTATGGCTCTATGGCTCGGCCGTCCGGGCCGCCAGCAGTTGCCGCCAAGCCACCACTTCGTCCCACGCCATCACCCATCAAGGCCAACGTGTCGCGCCCATTGCTCCTCGCGTCGTGACGCTACCGCTGTCGTCGCATCGTCGTCGCGTCCGCGCACCGTCCATCCTGCACCTCTACCTCTGTTGTTGCCTCCATGCCCCCTGTCGCCTCGCATCCTCATCACAAGCGCACGCTAGTATCCGCCGCCGTCGCCATGCCATTTATGGCATGAAAATATGTACACCACCGCCCGGTTTAACAATCGCGCGCGTTGTCAAGTTGGCCGTCGGCGCGTGGGCCTCCCGAGCTTGCTGCCCGCGTCCCGCCAAGGCGTCGTCTCTCTCTTTCCCTCTTTCTCTCTTTGTTTTTCGCCGTCGTCGCGTCGCGTCACGGTGAAGCCAGAGAGTGAGCACCTCTCATCAATTCCTCATGCTCCCGTCTCCGCCTTCACGCCCCTCTCCAGCCGACCCCACCACGCCTTGACTCGCGTCACGCCGAGCTCCAATTTTGGAGCTTTGCTCGCCGCCGTGCCGTTAAGGCCCGTCACCGCTTGTCCCGTGGCCAGCCTCCACCACTTCATCCCGCGCCAATTCCTCTGCACGCTAGTCGCAACTCTAGTGCCGCCTCCTCGCCGCTGACGTGGCCATGCCTTTGCGGTCCGCTGTTCACCTCTCAGCGCGCACGTGGCCAGCCTCGCTTGGGTCATCTCCGGCCGAGCCGGCTTCTCGGTAAGGTCATTGGTGAGTTGTCGTTGCTCACTCGCTTCCCTACCGCCTTGATTGTTGCTGCGACTCACCTGAACGTCGTTGCCATTGCCGCAGGGTGCTCGCCATCATGGAGAGGTCCTTTTACGGCATCCCGGCTCGTGCAACTGTCGTCCATCATCTCGCGTCAAACCCTAGGTGAGCGTCGGCCTCGTAGATAGGTCAGCGTGGGTCTCGTGTGGCCAGCGCAAGCCCCGGTGCCACCGCTCGCCACGTCGGAGCGCGCGGGGAAGGCCAGGGGCCTTGCCGTTGTAAAGAGGAGAAAGATCCGAGGGTTCCGCTGCAAAGTCGCTGTCTATAGAAATAGTAACGTCGACTACGGTTGTTTTACTCAAAGTCTAGGGGCGTTTTTGCTAATGCCAAGCGAACGCGCTGGGATTCCCCATGGCGGGCCAGCGTGTTGTAGGCCGGCCTCGCGTGGGCGTGTGCACTGCCATGCCACAGCATACACACTTCTACACAGCAGCGTTGCTTATGGGCCGCGTTGGGCCGAAATTAGTTTAGCTTTTTTGTGGAGAATAGAAATAGCTTTTTATTTTAATTCTGAGCTGAACTTTAGTAATTAATATAAAATCATGTAGGAATACAAAAATTGTGAAATCAATTTTGTTAAGTTCCTAAAATTGTGCTCTATCTGTTAGTGTATTTAGTTCATATATATACTTTATTGATATCAGGAGCTATTAAAATCATTTGAGAGTGCTTAATATTATTAGGTTAAATATTGTAGGAATTTTTGTGGCAAAACGGTGATAGCTTTAGCTTTAAAAATTTTACGGTAGCTTCATGGTATTATTATGTGCTCACTGTAATTTTTGTAGCTTTAGAATAGACTTAACATAAGAGTAGTTAAATGCTCTTTGTTTGAAATATACATTAAATCATTAGTAGAAATAGAGATATATCCTTCATTTGTAAAGCTAGGTGTTTGTTAGTTGAACCCAACACATTACTTGATGAAGATGATAGTTAGCTTAGTATCTTAGTCATTAGAGCTAGCTTAGTAGTTTACCTTGTGTATTTTTATTTTAAGAGTTGCTGTTGCCGAAATGCTAAGTGTTGCATTATCATCGCATGCATGTAGAGAATGAGTTGACGGAGACCGTGACCATCCGAGATCAAGAGTTTGAGGAGGTGATCGAGGAGTACGAGGAGGAGATCCTCGTGCAGGAGGAGGTCCTAGAACCGCCACTGACGGACTGAACTGACACCGCGCCTGCCTAAGGCAAGCCCCGGTGCATAACCCTTATTTTAAATAATCACTGGATATATATATGTGATGTGCATTTATGTTACAGGCTTATTGTTGAAACTACATGCATAGATATACCTACCTATGAGTCTTACTAATTTAGATCGAGTAGTTGCTATGCTTAGGCTATCGGTAGCGTGAGTAACCTGCCGTTACTCATAATAGGTGATTATTATTATCACTCTCATGGTAAAATGGTGAAAATGAAATGGAGACCGGGCAGGGATATGGTATGGGTATTGGTGGGTGTAATAGGTTGTGTCCCGCGGCCAACGGGGCATAGCTTGGTTACACTGTTTTTCCTGTCCATGTCAGTTAAGGACCGGCCATTGCATTGGATTCTAGTCTGGTCACAGATTTATTATCCTAAGCACATACTTGCTTATGGGAGCGGGAAGGCTCATTGCTCTCTTGTCGTGGGTTCTGGCTCTTTCTGGACTGACTGATTGGAGGCGGAAATGGTGGAGGTCTAAGCACTACACTGAGTCCGGGACTCAAGTGTGGAGGCTTGGAGTCCAAGTTTGGACGGGGACCTGGACCCCTTGACAGGAGAGTGGTGGGTTGGTCCTATATGTGCCTGGGGTACAAGCGGGACGTGTATTTTGGGGTACCCAGCTGGGCTACATTGGTTCACGAATCACCGGATAATCTGGTACGATTTATCTACGATCTAGCACCGCAGTAAGAACTGAAAGATGAAAAATGGTGAAATGGATCTGATTGCTCAACTCTTGCTTGAAAGTAGAACAGGTGCTTACATAGAATGGTTAGATGATGAACTAATCATGACTGCTAATAAGAAACATACATAAGGATTCACTGCTAGTAATGCTTTTGCAAAAAGGAAACCCAGCAAGCCATAAAGCCTATCATATCCTTTGGAATCGAAAAATTATTCTCACTAGTCGGGTAAGTCTT